GTCAGGGGGACTTGATAATAGGGGGAGTCTAGTAATCATAATGTTGTTCAAGTAATTGTACATTAACGATACCAAAAAAAAAAAAATCATTGCAAGGCAAAAGAAAACTTTATAAATGAAGTAAGAAAACAATAGCTTAAAATATTTATAATTGTATCAGTATTTATTTATATAGATAATACTTTATTAAAAATCATTTATTTTTATAATACAAATGTTCATATAAAATTATGTTTTATTTATCAAATATATAGCTATGTAATATAATAATATTCATATAGTATTATATCTAAGAATACTTTAATATATAGATTGATTTATCTCCATTATATAAAGTACTCCTAAAACTGAGGGAGAAAAAGACCAAAAATCTTCAGAAAAATGAGCAAAAAATATAACAGAAGCTTCCCAGAAAAAAGAAAGGCAAGTAGTCCTTCAACATATGAAAAGATCCTCAATCACACTCACAGAAGTAATGCAAATTAAAACTACTCCAACATGTAATTTCTTATCTATTGGATTAGGAAGTAACATATGCATGAAGTTATTAATAATGGCATTACTTGAAATAGCAAAGATTGGAAACAAACCAAATGCCCACCAATAGAGGATCTGCTGAATAAATTATGATATATTGATTCAAGTGAGAGCTATGCCATAAAAAAGAACAAGGAAAATCTCTTCCTAGTGATAGGAAATGATCTCCAGGATACACTGTTAAATGAAATAGAAAGGTACAGAAGAATGTATATTTTATGACACCTTTTGTGGAAGAAAAAAGAAAAAATCAATTAAAAAATGTGGATTTTTGCTTATTTTGATAAAAGGAATTAAGAAGAAGGCTAGATCAGGAACTAATAAAAATAGTTACCTACAGTGGTGGGGGGGAGATGATTGGAGGAGATAAGGATGGAAGTGAGATTTCTCTGAGTACACTTTTTCAAAGAGTTTTAACTTTTGAATTATGTAAATGTTTTATATATTCAAAAAATAAAATTTAACCATGAGGGAAAAAAGCAGCTCTGGAAATACTCTTAGCAGGATATATTCTAAAGATTAAAAAAAACTGCATGGAAACCTTAAACCTTACTAATAGTTTTAATGCATGTAATTTTGAAACTATTTAATGCTTAGCAATTAAGTAAATAGGTTATTCATTTTTTAAAAAGATATTCAGTGTAAGAGGAAATATAAGAAAAACCCTGTAATTTAAGATGTGAATCAATAACAATATGAACTCAACTATTATTTAAAAATATAATGTCTAGCCTTGCCCAATGATACCTTATCTTGGAACACAATATTTATGAGATTATAATATTCACTAAAATGAACAAGGGAAAGATGGCTGGTTCCAACGTGGGACAAGGAGCCTCGGACATCTTATAATCAAAGGCACGGAAACACTCAAAAACTAGTTTGGAGCAGGGGGGTATGAAAAGGACACACAGGAGCCAATTTTAAGGGTCTCCCACTGGCGAAATTTGGGCCAACTTGAGCAGCCCAAAGACTTATAAATGTAATTAACTGTAAAACACAATATATGAAAATCACAAGTCACATGATAAAAAACTCATTTACCACCATAACTGAAGGTAATTATGGCACTAAATCCTTAGTCTAAAAACTAGTAGAGAGAGAATTATGCATTGATCCTGCCAGTTTATGAGGAACTAAAATTCATCCCCAATTAATGAGGAAGGAAAAGCTCTCCTTTACAGAACAATGCCAATTACTAAATGTAAAAGGAACTGGAAAACCACGAGTTTGCAATCCCTAATGAAATAATTCATTCAGGGAAGGAGCATCAATCCATGTTAAAATTATCATCTGAAAGGTTGTTTGGGAACAGGGTATTTGTATGGTGCCAAAGTAATACCCCACAGATCACCTGCCCACTGCAGAGGGAGAAACACATCTTTACACTGGGAAGATCTGGTTGGTGATCACCAACCCACCCAGGGACCAACTTAGCTTCACCAGCCTTGGCGCGAGCTGGTATTCCGGCTTACTGCTGTGACATCTGAAGGCTGGAGGGGACAGAGGTAGAGTTCTGAGTGTAACCTTTCAAATGGTTTTAACTTTTGAATCATGTAAATGTTTTACATATTCAAGAAATAAAATTAAATCAAAACAGAACTATGAAGAAAACCTTACAGTTAAAAACAATCTGGAACAGAATACCATCTAGGAAATACTCTTTCCAAAAATTTTAAGACCAAATCTAATCAAGCCTTTAGACCTTCCAATTTACAGAACACATAAGGGCTAGAAAAACAAGTTAAATAACACTGGAAGGAGAGAGACAACTGGCCTTGTCTCTTCTAAAGGTCAATGACATGAAAGGAAAAAATAATGCAAGAATTACTCTAGATTAAGAGACTAAAGAATTACTCTAGATTAAGAGACTAAAGAATTACTCTAGATTAAGAGACTAAAGAGACATAATAACAATTATAATTAGATCCTAATTTGAAAAAATATACAGCTATAAAATATGTTTTTAGACATCTAAGAAAATATATGGACTGGATATTAGATGTTATTAGGTAACTGTTCATCTTAAAAGATTTGTACTGAAGTATTTAGAGATGAAAGGTCATGGTGCATACTTCCAAATGGTTAAGCAGAAATTTAAAAATATATACTTAATAAACACACATACATAGAAAGAGAGGAAATTGGCCAAACGTTAATAATCACTGACTGAGTTAACCAGGTACTCACTATCTTTTAACTTACTTCTGCTTTGGTACTTTTCAATACAAAGAGTAGGCAAAAAAATTTCCAATCTTTTAAGAGGATACATGTTCAGAGGGAGAGGAAGACAGTACCAACCATTCTTTGGAATAGAAGTGGGCCCTCAATCCTTAGGGAAAATTAAAGGAAATGTGCAAGTGAAGAAGTCAGAGTGTTCAGATGCTATGAGGACAAACAAAACCGTACAGAAGAGGTGAGAGTCTCTGCAGCCTTTACTCACCATGTGTCACCCCCTCAGTTGGCTGCTGCCTTCCATTGCTCAAACTTTCAGGCAAATTTTTCAAAACTGAAATAAGCTAAAAAAAGGGGGAGTGGTGAGCAGGGTGGGGGGGAGAGCAATATATTCAGGATGAAAAGAACAAAAGCAGAAATACATATAACAATTTAATACCATAAAATTATCCATAGCTCTGAAAGAGCTGTGTGGCAGGGTAAGGTGGTAAACTGGCCTATGCAGTGAGGATAAGTGTCTACTCAATGGAGTTTCAGTAGAGATGCGGATCCTGTACAGTACAGGTCAGCGATTTGCTCCCAGAGAGCAGTGAGCTTTGCCTGGCTACCCAAACTCAGTGTCAGGACAGGCTGTGCTCAGTTACCCACACTGTCACCCTGCAGGAAGGAAGGCAGTGGAGCCTCACAGAAAGAGAAGGTACTCTGAAGTTCACACAACTCTGGGTTCAAATCCGAGTTCTACCACCTACTAGCTGTGTCATTGTGGAAAAGCTATTTATGTGTCTGGGCTTCAGTGTTATTATCTGTAAGATAGTTGACAGCAATAGCTACCTTCACAGGTTTGCTGTGAAGGTTAAAAAAAAAATCTATGGGGTATCTAGAATAGTCCTGGTCCCAGACCAGTGCTCAGTAAATAACAGCCACTATTATAATAGCATTTCCAAGAGGAATGCCTATATAGGAAGCACCATCTACACAACTGATGAAAGTTTTCCTCTACAGAAAATAAACTAGCCCATATGAAAATCATCATGTTGGTCATTAAGCATTTACTCAGGCCCTACTGTATGCAGATTCAATGAGCTATACAAAGCAAAGGAGTTCATTTATAGCTAGGGTGTCAGCAGAACTCCAGTGCACATGAATGCAACTGGCTGGAACTCAGGCACAGAAGTGGGAGGAATGCTGAGTCCCTCAGGAAGTAAGTGGCTGTTGGTCAGTTTAACAGGGATACAAGGTCTATGAGACTGAGGGTAAAACTGGGAAGAATCATCTAAATGCCTCCCTGTGAAACACAGTGGACATTATATGCCTTTATGCTCAAAGATTTATGTAACATCACAAATGTCAACCTAATTTTTAGGAAGTTGGGGATAGAAATCACTGTTTTTAAAGCTTAAATTTACACATGAAATTGTTTTTTTTTTCATCGTAACCCCTTAGGAAATCTACTAAATGAATAGAAGGCAGTGAGATATAGAACTGTACCATGTCGGCACCCAGTCTTGACAGCACTGCTTCCAATTCCTTTGTGGTGCTCTTGGGCGGCACAGGAACCGTTTCCTGTTTGAGAATTGGGCCTACATCAAACCTACCAAAAATCAAAAGCAAATAATAACATGATTACTATTTCTTAAGATCAATAGTTTACATGAGTGTTTAGTTAAACCCTGCCCATTGATTTGACTGTTTGCCATTGGCAAAGGAGAAATGTCATTTTGAAAGAAAGGAAAGCAAAATCTGGCCTGTACTTAGACTTTCCTTTTTGTTTTTTTCTAAGGCAAAAAGTACAAAGTTGCATGTCAGGGGTTCAAATGCAATTATAAATAATCCTATCATTAATATTAAGTAGTATGAAAACATCTCTATTTGTATAATAAAAGCATAGAGCAAAGAATTTATTTCTAAGGGAGTAAATTAGGAAACTCATAATTTCTCTCTATATTTCCTTTTTCAAAGGACAAGAGTTTTACCTGGATTATAATCATTGGTGACTTAATTAGGTGCAAATTATTTTGCATTCCCACAATCTTTATATTTTACATCAATATAATTACATCGGTAAATACTGGCCTTCAGCTTTTATTAGAACTGTGCTTTATTTTAAATATTCAACTTTCTGGCTGTAGTTCTATTTTTAACTTATGAGCTATAATCAAATGCTTATTATGAAAAATTACATTCATAAAAACAAGTGGACAGTCTAATGAATCCCCATGTATGCATCACCCAGATCTTAGAACTATCAAAGTTTTGCCAGTTTTGTTTCATCTGCCCCTCCCTCTTTTTTTATGAAATAAGATAAAAAAAATCCTGTATCTTGAGTTGTTCTTGTTAACTTGTGAATTATTTTTTTCTATGGGGACATTAGGTGATAACGGAGATCCATCTTTCATTTACACAGTGTCTTTTATAGAAATCTAGTTGTTAATAATATATTTCAATTAACAAGTTAAAAATTTCACAAGGACATTGAAGAGACACTGCAGACTACCAAAAACACACATGGTTTATGTTAGCATCTGGGAAAAATCAAAGGGAAAGCCCTCTGGAGTTAGAGACATCAGTGAGCACCATCACCTGCCCTCCCAAACAGACTTGATTACATATATTTAAAAATCACCAACAGTCTCAAGAAATTGCCATACCTTTTAGGTCTAATTTGCATAATCGTTACTCCAGTAACTCTGTCTCCGTGAAGCACAGTGTGGATTATAGGGGCTGGACCCCGCCACCTCGGGAGGCAGCTGGGATGGACATTCAATATGCCACTGAGTTGAGAAGGCAGAAGTTAGTAGGCAAGCAGGCTTTACCATTTAGTTACTCCCTCCTAAACTAATATGTAACTTTTCAGCATTAAACGTTCCCAGAAATTTTGAAAAGTTAACAGTTAAATCCAGTCTTATACCACCTGAAAAAGGTAAGTTTACTCTCTTACCCTAAGACACCAATGAAACTCAGTTAAAAACAGCTATTCACTGTCCAAAGATGTTCTGCAACAATTCATAATGTCTGGAAGTTTTTAAGTAAAAACAAAAAATGCATTTCTTTTACTATGTGAAGAAGAAACACTTGAACCCTATTGTATGTCTCATGGACAATGTGAATGATATTTACAGTTTGTTTCCATCATTACCCTCACTTCACTTAGTTTGCATATAGAATTCCTAAATGCTTCCTGAATTCCCATCAGATGATCTAGTCACCTTTGCTGTTTTTCCCAATACACCTATCACCCACAGATGAGTAATTTTAATAATTTACTAAGCTGTCATTAGTTGACTGATGTCTCCATTAGCACGAGTATGCCCTTGAGTGTTTGTGTAGATGAGAGTCTTATTTCTAACTTCCCCTATTCACCCTAGTCTCATTGATCCAACAAATATTTACTAAGCACAATCCATGTGGTGGCACTATTCTAAGGGCGGGGATACAGGCAACATCAAAAAATTCTGCCTTCATGGAGCTTACGTGCAAAGAGTAGGAATAAGCAATAAAAAGCAAAATGTGTAAAAAGTTCGTCAGATGGTGCTAAGGGCTATAAGAAAAATAAAACAGAGAAGGAGCTGGGAATATTGGTGAGAGATTACAACTTCAACAGTGGTCAGAGAAGGTTTAACCAATGGAAGACACTTGAGGAAAGACAGGAGGTAAGGGAATAAGCTATGCAGACACAGTCCAGACAGAAGGAACAGTAAGTGTGAAGGTGCTGAGGAAGGTAAATGCTCTGCATGTTCAAGGCCCAGCAGGAAGGCCATGGTGGCTAGAGTGGAGGGAGCCTGAGGAATAGTGTCAAGAGATTGTGTCAGAGAGCTGGCAGGGCACCAAACCAAGCAGGCAGGTCTTCACAGGCCAATATAAGGACTTTGACTTTTATTCTGGGTGAGAGGGAAAACCACCAGAGAAGCAGAAGCAGTGACATGATCATTAATCTTATGCTTTAAAAGGATCACTTTGGATGCTGGGCTGGTAAAAGACTGAGAAGGCCAAGGACAGAAATAGACAACAGTGAGGAGGCAGCTGCCGTGTGACGGGCACGAGCGGAGGCAGTGGAAGTGACGGGAGACAGTCTGATTCTACCCTGATTTTGAAGGCAGAGCCAGTAGGATTTCCCGATGGGCTGGATGTGTGTGAGATGAGGAATCAAGAATAACTCCAGGGGTTTGGGTATGAACCACCTGACTCAGATGCAGCTTTGGGGTGAGAGTTCAGGAATAGTGGTTTTGGACATCTTAAATAACGAAGGTGCCTATCAAACACCCAGGCAGAGCTCTAGAGGAGGCAGTGGGTATCAGGGGCTTGGAGTTCAGGCAGAGATCTGAACTGGAGGGACAAATCTGGGAGTTATCAGCACACGCATGGAATTTAAATGAGGGTGGATGAAAGCCCATACATGGTGATAAAGAGCATCACATTTACAATTTGTGCCCTAATAAAATTTTTTATTTTAAGAGAAAATACTGAAGAAAGCAGAATTAGAGTTCAAGTTATTGCTCGTGAGATATCAGGCTTGTTAGATATAGAGACCAAGGTCTCTCTTTTGTATTTGTCGTTAAATAAAACTTACTAGGGAAATTTAAGAATAAGAGCCTCACTCAGAAGTCGGCCAAACGAAGCTACCACTCCAACATCATATTCTCCAGCTCCCACATCCGGCCACTCATACACTGGAAGCTGAGACTGGACAGCATATTGCTTCACCGGCAGTCTTTTTGGTGATGGGGAAGGCACTGTGACCACTTCCAATTTTTCAATTAACCCTTCCCCTTTGTTTTCCCTAAGTTGGAAAGATGGGAAATAAAATGTGAGTGTTAAGACAATGACTACAAACTTAACTACTTCACAAACGTCTATGGTATTTTTATGATGAAATGAATGAAGCATTTAAAGGTAAATGATTAAAACTAGTACAACTGAGAGACTGGGTTTTTACTTTTTATTTTATTTAAATTATCTTAAATTTAAATAGCCACGTGTGGCTAGTGGCTACTGTTTGGACATCATGGTTCTGTAAGTTTCCTGTGCACATAGTACAGACACATTACACAATTCAGATATTATATATAATGCTCTGCATTTTGCTTTTCCTCCCAACAACATCACATATGCTATTATGTGAGTCTTTTTAAAAAATGGGTTAAATATACATTTGCTTGTGTATGCACTGAACATTTCTAGAATGAGAAACTGAAAACAGCAGATGTCTCTAAAGTGAGGAACTGGCAACTGGGAGACAGTGGTAGAACTGACTTTTCACTGTATAGCCTTTGAATCTTCTGCATTTTGTATCATAACCATATGTTACTCAAACAATAAATACTTTTCAAAACAAAAATACATGCCCTGGGCGTCATTCCATGGCAGCACTTGTAGAGCTGCCTCCTTCTTTTTACCTGCTGCATAGTATTCCAGTGTCCAGGGGATGTTCATTTATTTAGCAGGTATCACATCCTATGCTGACGAGTTATGAGGAGTATATAGGAGGAATCCCTACTGAGAAAGTGCAGGAGTACTGGAGCTGCCAAGTGAAGCATCAGCAGAAGGGGCAGGACACACGCATGGGAGGCACTGCAGGCAACAAGGGGAGGAGCAGATTATGGAGGGTGGGTGCAGGTAGAAGTGAAGGGTAATATGCGTACAGAGGGGAGTGTGGTGGGAGGAATGTGATACAGGTCAGTAGGGGAGGCCGCTGTGAGGTGTTTGTAGGGAAAACTCGATGGATTGTGATGATAAAAATGAGTGTGGTGGCACAGCGCATCAGGAAAAAACGGAGTAGGGAAATAAATCACAGAGCTGGGGGGAAAGAAGGCAGAGCAGTATATTTGGGTCGAGCCACAAGATACCATGGACTTTCAGGAGAGGCTGGATCTCAAATACCTTTTTTTTCCAGTAAACAAGATTCGTTGTATTTTAGAAATATTAAGTGTGCTAAAACTCTTACGTAAGGGTTCCAATTTATAAATTTATTCACTTGGAACTAGTTCGTTTTGCACTGTCCTCATTTCAGGCCCGGAAAACTGGGTGCCTTCATATACAGGGAGGAGATGGGAGCCAAGAGAGACATGGGTGTGCAGAGGGATGCATGTGCCTGGTAAGAAGCCCAAAGGATTGAAGGGTACAAATCGGATGAACAGGAGGCCATAGAAGGAAGTGGAAAGGGGAGGACTATGAAGCCAGACCCCATTTTGGTCCCAACCAGCTCATCTGACGACCTTGGCAATCGCTTAACCTCCCTGAGTCCCGGTACCCTTACACGCAAAATGGCCAACGAGATGGTGGCACTGGACTAACGTGATGTATACAAAACGGCGAGCGCGGGCTTGGCACGCCGGGCGCAGGCAGCGCTGGGAGAACCGACAGGCAGGGTCCGGCGCGGGGGTGCAGCCGGAACAGGACGGGCGGGTGCGGCGCACCTTCCCGGCGCCCGGGGACGTCCACACCACGCCGGTGCCGCCGATTTCCAGACGAGGAGTCCAAAATCCTCGGGACCGGCCGCAGAGACGGCATCAGCGCCTTCAGCAGCTGGGCCCCCCAACCCCCGGTCCCGGTACCTGGCGGCGTGCAGAGCCCGCAGCGCCTCGCGGGCGAACTGGTCAGTGCCGAAGAAGAGCACTCGCCAGGGCGGCTTCTCGCGGACTCGGGCGCCGCGGTCGTCCTCCCCACCAGGAAACCCGGCGAACCCAGCCACCCCGCGGCCCTGGGACCTCGGCCTGCAGCCGGCGCCGCCACCCGCCGCCCGCGCTCCCCAGCAGCCGCGGACCAGCACCCACATAGTCTCCGAGGGCTGCCTACTCTGCGCAGGCGCGTCGGGGCCGGAGGGGGCGGGGCCGGGTAGGCCGCCTGCTGGGCGGGGTCAGCCAGCGGCGGGGGGCGGGCCGGCCTGCTTGGAGGCGTGCGGCATCTACGCAGAGCTGCGGTAAGGTTTGCGGCCTCTAGCGCCCCGGTGACTCTTGTTGCATTTCTGCGATTTAGCCGATCTCCCAAACGAACTCTCGAGAACAATCATGTGTTTTCAGACAATGAAATCTCAAATTTTTCCGTAACTCAACGTCATTTTCTCAGCCATTATGATAATTAATACTTGCTGAGTATTTACTATATGTCGCACTTTGGCTAAGCATTTTATACCCATTATTTCACTTAATCCTCATACCAATCATACAAGGTAGATATTTTTACAAACATTTTACTGAAGAGAATTTAAGGGAAATACCTATCTAAGGTTCATGATAGCTAGTCCATGTAGCTCCAAAGCCTGTGTGTGGTTCTAACTGTTTAGCCTTCCCAGCAGCCCTATGTACTAGTCAAGTCAGCGTTCCCATTTTGCACCTGAGGAAACTGAAGCTCAATGATCCTGCTGAATCGAAGGGCCCCTTCTTGCCTCCATCCTGCGGGGTTTCCCCACACAGAGGGAACATAAGGTAGATTCTTAGGGGGAAGCTCTCTAAGGACCTTCAATGTTAAGATTCTGTATTCCCAAGACCAATGCAGTGGCTTTCTCCTTGAATAAGGTTACTTATCCTGGCTATAGAGACCGGATTCCTATCTAGTCACTCTCACCACCTTTTCCCAGTGCTCGGTCTTAGACCCAGAGACCCTGGTCTGTCCTTTTTCCTAAATTGTGAGCTCTGCACTGCCCTTCAGGCTTTTGTGCCTTTGCTCATGCTTTCCTTCTTAGGCTGCTTTCCTCACAATTCTTTCTCTCTAAAAGATACCCATTCTTTACATACCCTCCCTGAGGCTTCAAGCTCTTGCGTGCATGGATTTAATGAGTTTCTCCATGTGCCTCCTTACTGCTCTGTGGGTATCTGTCCTCACAGTTTGGAATTACTGAGGGAAGTTGCCTAAGGTATGCATAGAAATTGACAAACTCAACCGTGTGTTGAATAGAAAAGAGAGAGACAAAGAGGAAGGGAGAAACTGTATTTCTAGTGATTCTGCCCATCTAATCATGGATGCAGAGAGTGAGATGGGACCCCAAACCTTCTATTCCTTCATTCACATTCTGTTCCGTATTCTCTCTTAGGGTAACTAGAATATGGTTCCAGTATATTAAAAAAATCATCTTTTTCCATACAACATGACCTATAAGTACAACCCTAATAGTTGTTTGGATTTTCACCCTTAGACCCTGGCTGCTATCTTAAGTGTGACTCTTTATATTTGTATTTATGTCATTTCTCTTCCTTGAGTTAGAGAGCCTGCATTATGCTACCTTTAATTTTAGGCAGTCCCAGTTCTCCACAGGTAACCTGCTCCCTGGACCTGCCTTGTGCTGCTCACAGCATCCTCTGCTGGCCACATGGCAACTGCTCAGTCTGAGGGATCCAAGCTAATCTGTTTTTTTCCTCCACAGGGCTGCCTCCTACCAGTGACATATAATTTTTCTAGTGGATGATTGGCAGCAACTTCTTTTTTAAAAAACTGAGCATGGTATTAGTGTAATGGATGAAGTTTTCCCAGAATGTTAAAATGAAAATATTTCTGAAATTTACAGTAGTAAGTTAGGGATGAATGAGGAAGTCCACTAGCAAGCCCAGACAAATCCATTGCTGGAGCTACTATAAAACACACAGAGAAGATGAGGATGCCAGCCCCTAATGTCGAGGAATTTTAGGTAATAAATTAAGACGTCCAGAAAGCACATGCAAGAGGACTGGGCTCTAACAGAAGCCAGATAATGTTAATTTGGCTGGTGCTCCAATTCTCTCTCTGGATATTTCTCTCTCCTGATGAATAGAGTATGTGTGTTTGTAGAATTAAAGAAATTACTACAGGTTCTCCGGGTGACAAGACAAAAACAGTGTCATTAACAGAGGAAGAACTGCTTGGTGGTAACCACGATGGCGTTTCAGCTTTGAATGCTTTGAAACCGAAGTGATGAAATAAGCAAGTGGAGATGTTTGGTCGAAATCTAGAATGTGGGATTGATCTCCGTGACTGAGGGGTGGGAGGAAGCAGGAAACCTCTCTCCCTGTTCGCCATCATCTCACTCTATGTTGTATGTATGATTTCTGCGGAGTGCAGATACCTGCCACAGATTAAATTTGTGTGTGTGCGTGTGTGTGTGTGTGTGTGTGTGTGCATGTGTGTGTGATCAGCCCTTTGACATTGAGAGTGAAAAGAGAGGGACAACCAGAGCTCTGGGAAAGATGGAGCAGGGGCGCAAGGAAGGACACGGTTGGCGCTTTCCGGTTGGTAAAATGGCCGAGGCATGAATCCGCAAGAATTCCTGAATGTGGCCTAGGAGGCAATGTCACCTGTGGCAGAGGAACTTAGGCGCTACACAGGCATTGGGCCAGTGCAGGGCGGGGGCGGGGTGGGGGTGGGGGCAGAGTAGCCTTTGGGATGCAGGGCCTTGGTGAGAAGTCCTATACAATTGCCCTCTCCTGCCTGTGGTTGCATCAGAAGTCCGTGAGGGGGTGCTGCTCCCGTTCCCGCACTGAGCAGGGTAGCCAATTCACAAGCTCTAGTCCTTACGATTATTTTGTGTTGTCAGTAGGAGGAATCACTCCCTAATCTATCCTGCTTCTCTGTAAAGCAGGGCTGGGGCTACAAGGCCACCCGCTGGAGACAGACCGGGACACTCTGGCCACAGCCCATCCCCTCCCTGCCCAGATTCTACAGATGATACACAAATACTAAGGAGGCACTTCCATGCAGCAGACTCCCTCACCAGGAGCCTGGGGTATCTTTCCATCCCAGGGAAGAGCTTAAGAGGCAGCATAGGCTACAGGACTGGAGGACCTTGAGGAGAGATACTGGAGAGGCTACGTGACATCTGATGGACGTCAGGGTCCCAGAAAAGGAAGCCTGAAGTGGTACTACAGGAATGAGAAACAGCCTAGGAATAAGTTAAGTTTTCCTTCGCTGCTTATAGTCAACCTAGAATACCAAGGGAAATACCACAACAGACTTAAGGAGATCAAATCTTAAAATCTTTGTTTTATTCCTCAACCCCTTTCCCCAGGCAAAAGAGCTGTACAATATTGACAAAGAGAAGAAGTATTTTTTATAAAGTATCTTTGCCTATGTCCACAAGGAAATGGATAAGATAGTAAAGCTTCTCACATTTAATGGAGCTCATAATTTGACTGGTCTAGGGACTGGTAAGACTTTGCATAAATTTAAGATAAGGGTTTAAAGAACTACTGGGAAAATAAAAGGAGGAAAAAAAGAAATAAGTGCTCAAAATAGAAAAAATGGAGTTTTAGTTAACAGAAAGTGTCTACTAAGATAATATACAGAATGAAAGATATCCAAATAGATATTAGGCAAGCCCTAAGAAATCATTCTGTATAAGACTTTAAACTAAGATATTAAGAGTTGTATTAATACTAGATAAGCAAATAGAAGAGAATTACATAAAATTACAATTTCATTTAATGCTTTTGATTAGAGTAAATACTTGCACAAGTCAAATATGTTTGTGTTAAATGTGGGTTAAAAGGAAACTACTGCATATTTCTGAAAAGGGCTCATATCCAGAATATATAAAGAATTCCCACAGATCAATTTTAAAAAGGCAGATAACCCAATAGGGAAAAGGTTGGACATTCTACAAAAGAAGATATCTAAAGAGTCAGTAAGCATATTTAGTCATCAAGGACATGCAAATTAAAACCACAGTGAGATTATAAGCACATAACAATCAGAATGGCTAAAATAAAAAAAGGCATAACATCAAATGCTGGCATTGATATAGAACAACTGGAATTCTCATACACTATTGGCAGGAGCAGCACTCTGGAAAACTGTTTGGCAATGCTTCTTAAGGCTGAACATATGCATATACCCCATGACCTGGCAACTCCATTCCCAGTGTACACTCGTTCACCAAAAGACAAGTTCACAAATGTTCACAGCCCAAAACTGGCGACAGCCCCAAAGCCATGGGCAATAGAATAGGTAAATAACTTATGGACTAGTCACAAAGTGGAACACCACACAGCAATAAGAATGAACCAACTATACCTACATGCAGCGAACAGAATGATAAGAAATTCCTCATGTCCAGAGAAGCTAGAATTCGTGTTGCCTTCTGTTGTGGTGTAAAACTACAAGTTAAAAGCACTGCAAAATTCTGGGCAACAAAATTGCTACAGCTATGGTCATTTCTTGTTTTTGGACACATGGGTTTTTGTCTGAAAGTCCTTTTTTTGATGCTGCTCTTCTCTAAAATCAGGCCTTGGATTTGGAATGAATAAATAGATCCTTTTTTTCCAAAGAATCTTTGCTATTCCCTAGGGAGCCACTAGAGGGCACCATAGCCTCACTTCCCTCACGTTTGACCCACATGTGGGACTCACTGAAGGGGATGCTAGAACGATTATATGATTGAAACACTCCATAGTTTTTAGTTACCTCAATCACGTTTCCTTCTTTATCAGGTTCAGAATATGGGGAAAGCTGCCAAATAAAAAAGAGAAGTATAAGCTATCTTTAGTTTCTGTAGGTAAAGTGTTACTTTAAATATAGGTAATATATAGGTTAAATATATTACCACATATCCTTTGTTGGGTAGTAGCATGTTTCTGTTCATAAATAAGGATTGTCAATAAATTGACTCTTAAGATTTTTCTTGGAATTATAATAATGCTGTGTTGTAGGTGACTGTGGTACCCACTTTACACTTCCACAAGACATACCCTAGAGATTTGTCAAAACCTTCACTGTCTCCAATACAGCCTTCCCTTTGGGAGTGATGACCAATTAAGTCTTTATGTAAGAGTCATGGAAAAGCCCGTTTGCCTCTATCCCTCTCCCTCACAGGGAATTCCACTCTCTTCCATCCTGATAT